TATTTGTTATAATGTAGATGATTATGGCTTACAGCTTATGAAAACCCCAAATTCAAAATTAGAATATTGTGAAAAGGTTTTCATAATCCATAATCATCAAAATTACAACAAATAAAGGCTTGAAATATCTCACTTTGCATGTAATGAGTCTTATTAGTTTCACCTTTTAAGTTGAATTACTGAAATAAATGAACTTTTGCACGATATTCACATTTTTTGAGTTTCACCTGTAGTTTATTGAATTGTTATCGTTTTTGTTTGTGCGGTTTTTTATATTTTCTCCAACAGCCCAAGCATACATGATTCAGGCATAGACAGTATAAGAAGTGGACAGAGCGATCTCATTGGAACTCAGTTGAGACAGTTGAAGTCCATTTTTAGCGATTTCTGAGCACTTCCGTTCCTGACGCGCAGACTCAAACCGACTCAAACTAAGCTTGATGACGTGAGCAACCTGTCTGACAGACGTTAATCTTCTAGTAGCTGTGCGTGAAAACTGCCAACGTTAATCTTGCAGAGACGGGGAACTTGAGCAAAGAGTTCTTTATCGTGAGTGAGCAGGAGTAAGTATTTCGTTGCTTTTATGGACTCATTATCTATGGGCTTCTCCCTTGACGGGACGTCCCCCCGATTGCCTGCGAGCTTCTCCTCCTGTCTGTACGGTAATTTCTGTACAGCGCGACAGAGAGTCGAGTGCAATCGTTAGCCTATTTTTACTAAATCTGTTTCTACGGGGCCATAGTGTAACACAGAAGGTAATGGAGCCCTTTATACATTGTCGTGTTTGTTTAGAAATAAATAATGGACAAATGGAGTCTTTAAACGCCTCAGATGTAAAGTTATTCGCTGTCAAAGTGACGCCAAAATGAATGGGAGTCAATGGAAATGCTAACGCAAGTGAAGTTCTGCTACAACATGGCGGCACCCGGCCGGCTTCAACTTCCGGTCGATGGATTACCCCCTTGGGATTCAGGCCTATAGATTGTACGTTAAACTAAAAAATGAACGAATCGAATGAATGAATGACTTACTCGTTTAGACGTTTACCGCCACCTACTGGCAGTTTTAGTGTATTCGAGTATCACTTCATAAAAAATGAAAAATAAATCATATTTTGGGAATAGTTTGCCCAAAAATGTCAATTCTGTTGATTTACATTTACTCACCCTCGTGTCGTTTCAACCCTGTATGACTTTCTTTCTTTGGCGGAACATAAAAGATTACGATTTTGAAGAATGCTGGTAACCAAACAAAATAAATAAAATGAAATAAAAACTAAGCAAATTAAGCAATTTGAGAAAAGTATTAAAGTAAAAATAAATGTGCAAACGTATAATAATCTTTAAAACCTCCATATGCTGTGAACACGAACACACACACACACAAACACACACAACCCGACCCCTAAACCTACCCATCACACACACACACACACTAATCCGACCCCTAAACCTACCCATCGCACGCACACACACATACACACACACACACACACACACTAACCTTACCCGACCCCTAAACCTACCAATCACACACACAGACAAACACACATTTTTGGAGATTTTGGTCACTTCTGGGTACAAATTTGTCCTGAAAATATAGTTAAGATGATACACACACGCACACACACACACACTAACACAACCCCTAAACTTACCCATCTCAGACACACACTAACCTGACCCCTAAACCTACTTATCACACTCACACACACACACACACACACTTCCCTGCACTCCCACTCTTGTTACATAAATCTGCTCCTGTGGCAATGCAAACAATAGAACGAGGTCAGAGGTCGTGGGCGGTCTGTTATGATGATGTTTCCCATCAGAGATAGCGTCTGTACAGGCCTCTGATGTCTCACACACACACACACACACACACGCAGCGAGACCTTCTGCTCGTGTTCAGCAGAGATGTCCGGAGCAGAGCGGGAATGTGTTAACGTCAGGAATCCCGCAGATTCAGGGACTCACACACATGACGGATCCAGGTCGAACACACTGAGCCTGAAGAGCTTCAGCGAGGGTTACACACACTCTCGTCACATCTACCTGCTCTGACTGGGCAAGATTCGTGTTTTCCTGAAGGAAAAAAGTGGTTTCATAATCTTTCATCAAAATATAATTACTTGCTCCACCTCTGAAATAACTTCCACTGACAACCATGAGCATGTGGGAGGAGAAAATAACATTATTATAGCAAACAATGCATGAAAAGACCATCATCCAGGCCAACTAGAAAACTGTTATTTCGATTATTACCATTTTTAATGCATTTTTAATCAAATAAATCTTGCTGAGCAGAAAAAACGTCTCTCAAAAAACAAAAAAACTAATATTTTAAACTGTAGTGTAAATTCTCATATTATAATTAGTGCTGGGCAACGATAAATCGCATCCAAAATAAAAGTTTGTGTTTACATAATATATGTGTGTGTGCTGTGTATAATTATTTTTTATATATAAATACATACATGTATATATTTAAGGAATATTTGCATGTATATACTGTATATAGATTTATACATAATTTATATTATATATAAATAATTTTCTCTTAAATATATACATGCATATATAAATAATTTTACACAGAACACACACATATATTATGTAAACACAAACTTTTATTTTGGATGTGATTAATCGTTGCCCAGCACTAATTATAACGCTAATAATGTGACCTTTTATGGCAATAAATTAATTTACATGCACTCAATAATCACACATGTAATATCCCTACAATTACTTTCATGAAACAAAAAGCAACACTATTTCCCGCTGCATAGAATTATTATATAGAATTATGCTAATTAATGCATTTTTCATTATTTCATTAAAGCTAAATATTTAGCTTTAGGTTCGATTTTTAAAAGTTAAATATCATTTTTATACAGGAAAATGAAATCTGGGAAGAATCTGGGAATTATATGATGGATTTTCTCTTAATAAAATTATACTGAATTCATTTCTTGGCTAAAATGTTCTGTAATTCAGGTCAACATGCCTTCAATAGAACAGAAATAGAAACAGAAAGAAAAAAAAAGACGTGCATCCAAACAACGTTCAAGGAAAGCTCTCGAATTACAATTAAAGATCGTGAACAAAAACGCACAATTATGATTTACAAACATCCCACAAGAAAAAGCGGTGTGTTTTACGAGCACATCAAACGGCGCTTTGAGAAGAAGCGCATCATCTTCCCAGCAGAACAACTCTACACGTGTGTGTGTGTGTGTGTGTGCGTGCGTGTGTCGTTAACCACCACGAAGGCCCTTAACGAGCGCCAGATTCTCAAGAGTTTTAACACGAGCGATGACAAAACACGCTGTTCGCTGTCAGTTCTCGTTATGGACCTTCTCCGTGTGTGTGTGTGTGTGTGTGTGTGTGTGATGAAGACACAGAACTAAACTCTCAGATCTCTCCACATTACATTACCGCAGTAAAACACACACACACACACACGTTCACACCGAACGCTCAGTCTGACAGTCTCTCACTTTCTCACACCTTCATCTCTCGTTGTTTATTCCCTCTCTCTCTTATTCTGCCTCGGGAAGAGAGATATCTTAATTAAGCCACATTTTTAAAGTTCATCTGAGGCAAAAGAGCATTTCAGGAAAGAAGAGACGTCAAGGCAAACGTCTGCTGATACTTTAAAGTCTTTCCCCTGTGGTGTAAATCCAGCTTTTAATGTTGTTTATGTGTCTATGTGGTGTTTTTAATATGCTTTAAGACACACACACACCATGTGTAAGTTCATAAGTCGACAGCATTGCTGAGTATTTCCTCCTTAAAACTGCAGTGAACCAAAGACAGTCTCAAAAACACGGTTTGAAATCGCTGGTGTTTCTGACGTCACAAACGACCTTGTAACCAATCAGATCAACGTGTGATCGCCAACCAGTGGATCTCTGAGCTGAGTGAGTGAGTGGAGGCGGGGCTGATTTGCATATTCATAGAACCGCGCATACTAAATATAGTTACATTCAAGCTATTTTAAGGCATTAAGTCTTTTTTTTTCAAGGAAAAAACATTCAAAGTCCCACTCCGATCATATTTTGAGCTATTTTTAAACATTCCCAGTGGTCTTTAAATTATGATTATGCCATTTTTAGCCAAAATCACAAAACCTGTGCCGTTTTCTGGGACTTCGCTTCAGCAGAGCGGCAGTTGCTCATTAGCAATTCGCCTCTGTGTTGTGGGCGGAGCCGTTGGCACGGAGACGACCCTCCCCCTGCCCGTTGCTGAGAGCTCTGTCTCTCCCGCTAGCTTACACCCCCAATACCGGTGGGGCAGCAGTATTATATACACGTTAATTATTATTATCCGAAGTTAATCAAAGTTATCACCGATCACCGATCATTATTTCACTCCAAGACGTCGCGTGTGGAGACGCCAGTGGAGTTACTACGTCACAACTCCAGTCTATTTTAGCCGGCATTTTAGCGTTTGCTACTGATTCACAGCTATTTGAATGTAGAAATACTCAGAAATACAACTTTGAGCTGATTTTTCTCAAGATATGTCCTCTAACATCAGAAAAATGCCACAAGAACATGTTAACACCTAGAAAAACATTATTTTCATCGGAGTGGGTCTTTAAATATGTCATTTCGGTGATCAAAGATGAGTTTTAAGGGATAATTATTGACTACAGGTGGAGTTTAAGTGATCAGACAGGAAGAAACAAAGATTATTGGAGCAAGTTTTACATGCAAATACTATTTCAGGATTTCCAGTTTAATTCAGATGTAAAATTGTTCCTTCACCATTTTTTTTCAGTGTAGTTACAACCATAGATATCCATAATAAAGGCTTCCCTTTGTATACACTGCACGACAAAGCTGAAAATCTTCCCGACCCGAAACATTCCTGTCATATTTTATTACCATTTTCTAAACTATAGCGAATAAACTGTGATAATGTGAGAAAAGGTGTCTGAATAAATTTTGGTTTGGTTTGGTTTGACTATATATATATATATATATATATATATATATATTGGGGTGTAACGGTACACAGAAGTCAAGGTTCACGGTTCGATATGAGTGCGGTACATTTACGTGTGATTTTGTCTCATTACAACAGCGTAAACTTAAAATACTCTGTCATTTATGGTCATGCAGAGTAAGACGTCATTCGAAACTGATTTTGGCTTCCAACGATTATTGAAACATGATGCCGCTTTCCGTTCCTATCCTTTAAAGCGGTGCGCTGTCACCCGTGCGTAACATCCGTATCATGTAATGTCACGTGTTAAAGCGCAGTAAGCTGTGAACGACACCATAGATATCCATAATAAAGGCTAGATGTCTTACGGCAGAGTCTCAATCGTCATCACCGGCGGCCATCTTGTCACAGGCAAGCTTTCTGGCGGGCTCTGATGTAAGATGAGTGATCAGCACGAACACAAATACTCTTATCTCATCGAAATCTTGACGGATTTACAAACGGTTTGGTTTCTTACAAACGTTATTAACGTGGCTATAATTCTGGATGATTATTTATTTATACACTTATTATTCATAATAAGTATGCAGTGTCATAACTACATACATAACCAAACCGTTTGAAAATCGGTTGACAATTGAGCAAGTTATGGTTATTTAAAAAGTACATGCAGCATTAAAACACAATGTTACGAGTGAGCGAGCTGCCTGTGGCAAGATGGCCGCCAGTGCGGACGTCCACCTCCATTGGCCAGCAGCGCGGACGAGACATCTAGCCTTTATTATGGATATCTATGGTTATTCTAGTTTATGTCCAGTGCAGGTGTCTGTTTTAATTCTGTTTCCCAGTATGAGCTCAAATGGAAACAAATTGGCAGATTTATAAACATATTGCATATTTATGCTAACAGCTAGCACCACATATTTGCTGATTTGGCCCGTGTGGAGAAAAAGCCATGAGGCAGTCGTAAAGCAGGATGGCGTTAGTCCCAGTGAATATTGTAAAATATTTCTCGGTCCATCTGCTATCGTTCCTCCATCCACCACAATAAACACATCTGATGATATAAAACAGAGACCAACTACTAACTTTCATTCACATGACACCACTAGATCCACTAGGAAGACACTTAATAAAACACAGTTTAAAAATTGTTGTGTGTAATATTTTGGTCACACTTTATTTCATATGTTACATGTGCTTGCATGTAATTATGCATAATTTACTGTTATTACTATAGTAACTAACCCTAATCATACCCTAACTCTATAGTAAATACACGTTGTTAATTAATATCACCCAGTACTTAAATATATAGTTACACTGTAACACACGGACACCTTAAAATAAAAAGTGTAACCAATATTTGTATTAAAAGCACACTGTAGGCCATGCTATGTTGAGTACAAAAAATATACATAACACTACCATTCAAACGATGATTTAATGTTTTTGAAATAAGGCGACATTTATTTGATCAAAAGTAAAAATGTAAAATATTATTGCAATTTAAAATAGCGGTTTTCTATGTGATTATTTGTTAAAGTGTAATTTATTCCTGTGATCAAAGCTGAGTTTTACTCCAGTCTTCAGTGTCACATGATCCTTCAGAAATCACTCTAATATGATGATTTGATGATCAAGAAACATTTATGATTATTGTCAGTGTTGAAAACAGTTGTGCTGCTTCATATTTTTGGAGAAACCGTTTATTTTTCAGGATTCTTTGATGAATAACATTATATGAATATATATATTCATATAATGATGAATATAATTAAAGGTCAAAAGAACTGCATTTATTTGAAAAATAATCTTTTGTAACATTATAAATGTCTTTATCACTTTTGATCAATTTAATGCGTCCTTGCTGAATAAAACTATTCATTTCTTTCCTAAAAATCTTACTGATCCCAAACTTTTGAATATTATTACACATGACTGTTCATATAACCATGTGACCAAAAAAAAAAAAAAAACCCTTGAAAGAACTTAATATTCAACAATATTATTGATCTGCCTGCATTGACACCATTATATGAGAACTGAACTGAGCTGGACGATTACATCACGGTTTTCTCCAGAGAGGCTGTGTAGATAAACTAACTAAATGAATAACTTTATTACAACAAAAATGAACTTACTTAAAGGGATAGTTCACTTTGAAATAAATTTTTGGTATGTTTTAGCTTACCTCAAGGGCATCCAAGATGTAGGTGTCTTTGTTTCCGCAGAAGTTTCAATTTTGATATTTTTAGGTCAAACCGTTCTTGTCTGTCAGTCATATAATGCAGGTTTATGGTCACCCCCTCAGAGCATGCACAGAGAAGTCCAAATTAAACATGATTTAATGACTCGTAAATGTAAGTACACATTGATGGCCTAAGACACGAAACGAGCGGTTTGTGTGAGAAAATGAACAGTATTTATATCGTTTTTACCTCTTGTGAACACAGCCACGTCCAAGTGATCTGAGGGCGCGGGCGCGTAAGTCTGCGCAAGCGCTGGAAAGCGCCAGAAGTGATCTCTCGCGCGGTTGCGAAAAAAATTCAACGTTGTCTGTTGATATATCGAAATCGTCTTCCATTACGATTTCCTGTATATCTAAATATGTTTAGATCTTCACAGTGAAAGGTAACACTTCCGAAATCTCTGTGTAAACAATGAGTGACGTACACACGCGAGAGATCACTTCAGGCGCTTGCGCAGACCGAAGCGCCGGCGCCCTCAGATCACTTGGACGTGGCTGTGTTCACAAGAGGTAAAAAACGATAAAAATATTGTTCGTTTTCTCACACAAACCGCTCGTTTCGTGTCTTAGGCCATCAATGTGTACTTACATTTACGAGTCATTAAATCATGTTTAATTTGGACTTCTCTGTGCATACTCTTTGAGGTGGTGACCATAGACCTGCATTATGTGACTGACAGACAAGAACGGCTTGACCTAAAAATATCAAAATTGAAAATACTGCGGACACAAAGACACCTACATCTTGGATGCCCTTGAGGTAAGCTAAAACATACCAAAAATTAATTTCAAAGTGAACTATCCCTTTAAAGGGATACTTCAGGATTTAGCATTAAGCTTTGTATTAGTAGAAAACCTGTAGTATTTTCAAATTACCGTGCTTTCCACCCTCATATCCCCGTGAGATTTTTTGTCTGGAAAAAATCCCCCGATGACGCAAAAATCGTCATATTGCGTCATCGGAGGATTTTTTGGCCAGAGGCTAAAGACTACAGTCAGTAGTAGAGGCTGTCCCGCATGTCCTCAACCCGCCCATAGAGGGTGGGATCTCACGGATCTCACTCACAGAATGGACACATAGTGTCAGCCATCTTTTTTTGGACGCTAAGCTAGCAGGCTCTTGTTCTGTGGAGAAAGCTGAGTAGTAGGGGTTACCATCCTCTTTTTCCCGGACATGTCCAGCCGTCGATGTCCGGGATTCAGCTTTTGCTTTCTGCAGTCGCCATTCATTGTTTACATGCACACCTTTTGTTTCAATCTAACTGAATTCATTCCGATTGGTGAATCTGAATGTAGTGTTTACATGAACGCTAAACAAGTGATCGGTTGATGTGCGTTTTAACATTGCTAAGAAAATCCCCGCTCCTCCGTGAGAGATACGAGACCGGTGCGTCTCACAGGTGTCGCTCATCAGTAATCACGCCACCGGCCTCGCGCCGGTCTCCCGCGGCCCTCAGTCGTCCTGCTCGCCACAATAAACATGATGAATGACGACTGTAGAACGCAAAAGCCGAATCCCGGACATTTTGGGCGATCTCGAAATCCCGGGCAGACTCATCACGGAGACTCACTAGTAGCCTAGACTTGTTGTTTAACTACTGCGCTCTGTTACCGGTAGGCGTGGCCTCCTAGGGCAGCGAAGCAAGTGCATTCTGGGAGTTGTTGTCTTTCATCCACATTAGTCAAAAATACATTTTCTGGCTTTTCTCAGTATAGAAAAGCATTTCTACTACATAAATGACCCATTTTAAATACACATTCATCTTTCCAGAGGTGAAGTATCCCTTTAAGCTGGACTATTGTCTTCTGGATCTACCAAAACAAACTTTGTTGCATCATTTTCCTGTTATCTCTGTAAAGCTGCTTTGAAACAATCTGTTTTGTAAAAAGCGCTTTATAAATAAAGTTGACTTAACTTGTTCCACACAGGAGCTTGATCTGTCGTAATGGAAAGTCCCACTCACCAACAGTGAATAGCAGATTTTGAATCCTGGTCTTGCTACGAAGTAATCGTCTGATTTGAAGGTGATTTTGATGAGGTTTGTTTTGGATGTGATCCGTGATGGAAATCTTTTCCCGCACCAGCGGCCCCAGATGATGGTGCTGGTTTCTGAAATATCCTCCACTTCCACATAATCATACCTGAAAACACACACATTATGATTTTTCAGATATTACTTTTCATGTAGTGTGTGTAATATACTGTAGCTGAGGACTAAAAGAGTTTGTTTTTTCTGCGCTGGTAAATGATACGGTATCATTTGATACGGTAAAACCGTCATCATCGTTACTGTTCGCATCACTGTGTATCAAGGAAGATCCAGAGCTTAAATTCAGATATAGTGATGGGCGTTTCATTTCTGACACTCGCTGTAAGTGGCCGACCAATCAATGCAGACTGGGATATCTGACCGACCAATCAGAGCAGAGCAGCTCTCAGAGAGGCGGGGTTTAGAGAGACTGAATCTGCAAACGAAGCGTTTCAGACACTGAGAGAAAAGAGCTGATGCTGAAATGGATATTATGAGAAAATTAAAGTGTTTTTTGACCTTGGATGCATGTAAAACTATTGTAGGAGAAATCAAAACAACATTAAGAACCTTTAAAATAGCATAATAAGGACTCTTTAAAAATGCTTTGAAATGATATTCCTCAAAATGCATGTGAAGACAATTGGATGTTCCTGTGTTTTTTGTATAGGAAAGTGTTATTTTTAGTATTATTTATATATACTATATTGTAGGATTTATTAATATTTTGAATAAGCTTTTATTTTTCATTTTAATTTAGTAATTTTGTAATGTGCTTTTGTCTTTTTTATTATTATTTTTTAAATATTTCTGTTTAGCTTTATTTTTATTTTAGTTTTAGTCCTTTTAGTACTTCAACTTAAATGTAAACTAAGGTTACATTAAAAATGTTTCTAATTAAAGATTTTAGCTTTATTTCAATTAAGGACAATGACAATGCAGTGATTGGAAATGTGATTATTTTTATGTATATCACAGAAATGTATATACTTAATAGATTAAGATTCCTTTCTCCTCTTTGACTTCTTGTCTCTTTCTCATCCTCTAAATTCACCTCGTCTCTCATCTCAGATTTTTTTTTTCCTGCTTTATTTTTAGTCCTGAAGTCTCGTGGGTCTTTATAAAATATCGGATTCGCAGTAAATCCCTCTAACCCCAAGGACGAACTCGTAACCCAAGACTCACTCCACACACATCGTGGTCAGATACTCGCTCTGATTGGCTTTCTGCTCATTAAATATTCATATCATGTTTTAACTCTTCAGGCCATTATTTCTAGTCCAGAAATGCAGAATCAAAACCACAGGAATCGGAGGAACTAAACCTGTTATTCTATACCACGTCACAACACGAGTTAACGAAGTAGGACATTCAGCTCCTGGATCACCGATACTATGAATTAATCAGATTTTAGAGCTAGATGCTTGTTAAACTGTTAAATATTTACCAGCTAGACCAACCCAACTGGTAGAAGTAACACTTTCTGAACACCCCTTTAAATATATCCAATTAATTATTCATGTACTCATTCATTTCGAAGCTCCGCCCTCACCTGCAGACTCCATTCTCCGCCTCCGCTTAAAATGAATTATTCATTAGCTCATCAGTCTGAAGCTCCGCCCTCACCTGCAGACTCCATTCTCCACCTCCACTTAAAACTCTTAGATCTAATTAATTATTCATGATCTCATTAGTCTGAAGCTCCGCCCTCACCTGCAGACTCCATTCTCCACCTCCACTTAAAACTCTTAGATCTAATTAATTATTCATGATCTCATTAGTCTGAAGCTCCGCCCTCACCTGCAGACTCCATTCTCCGCCTCCACTTAAAACTCTTAGATCTAATTAATTATTCATTAGCTGATCAGTCTGAAGCTCCGCCCTCACCTGCAGACTCCATTCTCCGCCTCCACTTAAAACTCTTAGATCTAATTAATTATTCATGATCTCATTAGTCTGAAGCTCCGCCCTCACCTGCAGACTCCATTCTCCGCCTCCACTTAAAACTCTTAGATCTAATTAATTATTCATTAGCTGATCAGTCTGAAGCTCCGCCCTCACCTGCAGACTCCATTCTCCGCCTCCACTTAAAACTCTTAGATCTAATTAATTATTCATGAACTCATCAGTCTGAAGCTCCGCCCTCACCTACAGACTCCATTCTCCGCCTCCTCTTAAAACTTTTAGATCTAATTATTCATTAGCTCATCAGTCCGAAGCTCCGCCCTCACTTGCAGACTCCATTCTCCGCCTCCACTTAAAACTTAGATCTAATTAATTATTCATGAGCTCATCAGTCCAAGGCTCCGCCCTCACCTGCAAACTCCATTCTCTACCTAAAACTTTTAGATCTGATTAATTATTAATGAATTCATCAGTCCGAGGCTCCGCCCTCACTGCAGACTCCATTCTCCGCCTCCACTTAAAACTCTTAGATCTAATTAATATTCATGAGCTCATCAGTGTGAAGCTCCACCCGCACCGGCAAACTCCATTCTCCGCCTCCACCTCTAAGATCTAATTAATTATTCATGATCTCATCAGTCTGAAGCTCCGCCTCACCTGCAGACTCCATTCTCCGCCTCCGCTTAAAATTAATTATTCATTAGCTCATCAGTCTGAAGCTCCACCCTCACCTACAGACTCCATTCTCCGCCTCCACTTAAAACTTAGATCTAATTAATTATTCATGAGCTCATCAGTCCAAGGCTCCGCCCTCACCTGCAGACTCCATTTTCCACCTAAAACTTTTAGATCTAATTAATTATTAATGAATTCATCAGTCCGAGGCTCCGCCCTCACCTGCAGACTCCATTCTCCGCCTCCATTTAAAACTCTTAGATCTAATTAATATTCATGAGCTCATCAGTGTGAAGCTCCGCCCGCACCGGCAAACTCCATTCTCCGCCTCCACCTCTATGATCTAATTAATTTTTCATTAGCTCATCAGTCCGAGGCTCCGCCCTCACCTGCAGACTCCATTCTCCACCTAAAACTCTTAGATCTAATTAATTATTCATGAGCTCATCAGTCCGAAGCTCCGCCCTCACCTGCAGACTCCATTCTCCGCCTCTTCCAGTCCAAACTGAGCGTCGAACTCCAGCAGGATTCGTGTGTGTACAGGCGAGAGTAGTTTCCATGACAACAGCAGGTTGCGAGGGTACGAGTTGGGGAAGCGCGGGCTCTGGACGTGACCTCCGCTCTTGACCATTATGACCTCTTCCTTCCGGTACAAGTCTGTGAGGCGATTGCTGTCTGTTACTGGTCACAACTTGGATAGGTTAGTGTGTTTACTCTTGGAGACAAACAAACACACACACACACACAGATATATACAAAAACAACACATACAAAGTTAAGAATCCGTTTCATTTCAGTTCATCCCAGTTCAGTTACAGGATCAATTCAGATCAGAAAATTAATCTAATTGTCTTCAGGAAAATAGACTAAATCACTTCTAATTTTCTAAAGGAAAAGAACCAAAGTCACTTTTGATCCAAGGCAAACCAATTGGCTTCTGATTGGATTCACAAAAAAAAAAAAAAAAAAAAACTTTTTTCACTTCTAATTCTGTTCAGGAAGTGAAATGTAATCACTTCTCATGCTCTTTGATGATAATGATCTGAATTCACTTCTGATGCTATTCAGGAAAATAACACCATTTTCCTACTAATTTCTTTCTTTTTTTAGACAAAAAAAACCTGAAAATCACATTTGATTCTTCTCAAATCCAAAGCAAACTTCTAATTCTGTTCAGAAAGTGAACTAAATTTGCTCTTTGGGAAGTTATCTGAATTCATTTTTTTTTCAGAAAAACAACTAAAGTCACTTTAGATTCTCTTCAGATCCAGAAGCGAATTGAGTTTGCATTAATTCTCTTCACAAAAAGAACTTAATTCACTTTTAATACTGTTCAGGAAGTGATGTGAATTTACTTTTGATGCTCTTTGGGAAAGAAACAGAATTTACTTTGTATTCTTTTTAGGAAAATGACCAAATTCACTTCTGATTCTCTTCAGGAAAGAACAAAATACACTTCGTATTCTCTCTGGAAAAAGAACAGAATTCACTTCTGATTCTCTTCAGGGAAGAACAAAATCCACTTCGTATTCTCTCTGGAAAAAGAACAGAATTCACTTCTGATTCTCTTCAGCAAAAGAATAGAATCCACTTCTGATTCTCTTCAGGAAAAGAACAGAATTCACTTCTAATTCTCTTCAGGAAAAGAACAGAATTCACTACTGATTCTCTTCAGGAAAAGGACAAAATTTACTTCTGATTCTCTTCAGGAAAAGAACAGAATTCACTTCTAATTCTCTTCAGGAAAAGAACAGAATTCACTTCTGATTCTCTTGGGGAAAAGAACAGAATTCACTTCTGATTCTCTTGGGGAAAAGAACATAATTCACTTCTGATTCTCTTGGGGAAAAGAACATAATTCACTTCTGATTCTCTTGGGGAAAAGAACAGAATTCACTTCTGATTCTCTTGGGGAAAAGAACAGAATTCACTTCTGATTCTCTTGGGGGAAAAGAACAGAATTCACTTCTGATTCTCTTGAGGGAAAAGAACAGAATTCACTTCTGATTCTCTTCAGGAAAAGAACAGAATTGACTTCTGATTCTCTTGGGGGAAAAGAACAGAATTCACTTCTGATTCTCTTCGGGAAAAGAACATAATTCACTTCTGATTCTCCTAGGGGAAAATAACAGAATTCACTTCTGATTCTCCTGGGGGAAAAGAACAGAATTCACTTCTGATTCTCTTGGGGGAAAAGAACAGAATTCACTTCTGATTCTCTTGAGGGAAAAGAACAGAATTCACTTCTGATTCTCTTCAGGAAAAGAACAGAATTGACTTCTGATTCTCTTGGGGGAAAAGAACAGAATTCACTTCTGATTCTCTTCGGGAAAAGAACATAATTCACTTCTGATTCTCCTAGGGGAAAATAACAGAATTCACTTCTGATTCTCCTGGGGGAAAAGAACAGAATTCACTTCTGATTCTCTTGGGGGAAAAGAACAGAATTCACTTCTGATTCTCTTCAGGAAAAGAACAGAATTGACTTCTGATTCTCTTGGGGGGAAAGAATAGAATTCACTTCTGATTCTCTTGGGGGAAAAGAACAGAATTCACTTCTGATTATCTTGGGGAAAAGAACATAATTCACTTCTGATTCTCTTGGGGGAAAAGAACAGAATTCACTTCTGATTCTCTTCAGGAAAAGGACGGAATTCACTTCTGATTCTCTTGGGGGAAAAGAACAGAATTCACTTCTGATTATCTTGGGGAAAAGAACATAATTCACTTCTGATTCTCTTGGGGGAAGAGAACAGAATTCACTTCTGATTCTCTTCAGGAAAAGGACGGAATTCACTTCTGATTCTCTTCGGGAAAAGAACAGAATTTACTTCTGATTCTCTTGGGGAAAAGGACAGAATTCACTTCTGATTCCCTTGGGGAAAAGAACAGAAATCACTTCTGATTCTCTTGGGGGAAAAGAACAGAATTCACTTCTGATTCTCTTGGGGAAAAGGACAGAATTCACTTCTGATTCTCTTGGGGAAAATAACACAATTTACTTCTGATTCTCTTGGGGGAAAAGAACAGAATTCACTTCTGATTCTCTTGGGGAAAAGGACAGAATTCACTTCTGATTCTCTTGGGGAAAATAACACAATTTACTTCTGATTCTCTTGGGGGAAAAGAACAGAATTCACTTCTGATTCTCTTAGGGAAAAGAACAGAATTCACTTCTGATTCTCTTAGGGAAAAGAACAGAATTCACTTCTGATTCTCTTGGGGGAAAGAACAGAATTCACTTCTGATTCTCTTCAGGAAAAGAACAGAATTGACTTCTGATTCTCTTGGGGGGAAAGAATAGAATGCACTTCTGATTCTCTTGGGGGAAAAGAACAGAATTCACTTCTGATTCTCTTGGGGAAAAGAACATAATTCACTTCTGATTCTCTTGGGGGAAAAAGAACAGAATTCACTTCTGATTCTCTTGGGGGAAAAGAACAGAATTCACTTCTGATTCTCTTGGGGGAAAAGAACAGAATTCACTTCTGATTCTCTTCAGGAAAAGAACAGAATTGACTTCTGATTCTCTTGGGGGGAAGAATAGAATTCACTTCTGATTCTCTTGGGGGAAAAGAACAGAATTCACTTCTGATTCTCTTGGGGAAAAGAACATAATTCACTTCTGATTCTCTTGGGGGAAAATAACAGAATTCACTTCTGATTCTCTTCAGGAAAAGAACAGAATTCACTTCTGATTCTCTTCGGGAAAAGAACAGAATTTACTTCTGATTCTCTTCGGGAAAAGAACAGAATTTACTTCTGATTCCCTTGGGGAAAAGAACAGAAATCACTTCTGATTCTCTTGGGGGAAAAGAACAGAATTCACTTCTGATTCTCTTGGGGAAAAGGACAGAATTCACTTCTGATTCTCTTGGGGAAAATAACACAATTCACTTCTGATTCTCTAGGGGGAAAAGAACAGAATTCACTTCTGATTCTCTTGGGGGAAAAGAACAGAATTGACTTCTGATTCTCTTGGGGGAAAAGAACAGAATTGACTTCTGATTCTCTTGGTGAAAAAGGACCGAATTCACTTCTGATTCTCTTGGGGGAAAAGAACAGAATTCACTTCTGATTCTCTTGGGGAAAAGAACAGAATTCACTTCTGATTCTCTTGGGGAAAAAAACAGAATTCACTTCTGATTCCCTTGGGGAAAAGGACAGAATTCACTTCTGATTCCCTTGGGGAAAAGAACAGAATTCACTTCTGATTCTCTTGGGGGAAAGGAACAGAATTGACTTCTGATTCTCTTGGGGGGAAAGAACAGAATTCACTTCTGATTCTCTTGGAGGAAAAGAACAGAATTCACTTCTGATTCTCTTGGGGAAAAGAACATAATTCACTTCTGATTCTCTTGGGGGAAAAAAACAAAATTCACTTCTGATTCTCTTGGGGAAAAGAACAGAATTCACTTCTGATTCTCTTGGGGAAAAGAACATAATTCACTTCTGATTCTCTTGGGGAAAAGAACAGAATTCACTTCTGATTCTCTTGGGGGAAAAAAACATAATTCACTTCTGATTCTCTTGGGGAAAAGAACAGAATTCACTTTTGATTCTTTTGGGGAAAAGAACATAATTCACTTCTGATTGTCTTGGGGGAAAAGAACATAATTCACTTCTGATTCTCTTCAGGAAAAGGACAGAATTCACTTCTGATTCTCTTCAGGAAAAGACAGAATTTAATTCTGATTCTCTTGAGGAAAAGAACAGAATTCACTTTTGATTCTCTTGGGGAAAATAACACAATTTACTTCTGATTCTCTTGGGGGAAAAGAACAGAATTCACTTCTGATTCTCTTGGGGAAAAGCACAGAAATCACTTCTGATTCTCTTGGGGGAAAAGAACAGAATTCACTTCTGATTCTCTTGGGGAAAATAACACAATTTACTTCTGATTCTCTTGGGGAAAAAGAACAGAATTCACTTCTGATTCTCTTGGGGAAAAGCACAGAAATCACTTCTGATTCTCTTGGGGGAAAAGAACAGAATTTACTTCTGATTCTCTTGGGGAAAATAACACAATTCACTTCTGATTCTCTTGGGGGAAAAGAACAGAATTCACTTCTGATTCTCTTGGGGGGAAAAAACAGAATTCACTTCTGATTCTCTTGGGGAAAAGAACAGAATTCACTTCTGATTCTCTTGGGGAAAAGACCATGACTCACATGACTTTTCAGAAAGGTAAACTGAATTAACATCTAAAGGAATCAAACCGAAATCCCTTCTGATTCTCTTCAGGAGAAACAATCAATTCACTGTTAGATTTTGATCCTAATATCTGAACTGAATTCACTGAAATGAACCACAGAATCTCCGACAGAACATAAAACACACAAACACAAGCAACACGAGGAGACAGACAGAATTAGGTGACGCCGGCTCTTCAGAAACAGACAGGCCCCACAAAGGTAAAATATTAAAAATAGCAGAAGTTATGCAACAGGAAAACAAAGGCACTTCAACAATGTGACACTTCATGAATCTTTAAATTAGACACATTTGATTGTTTTAAAGAAAGCTAAAGTATTCATGACACACTAATCGAAAGTGACGACGTCGGCGGAGGCCTGATCCAAAGTCAAAATGATGCAGCCATGATGATGTTTTCATTTCCAAAAGCTCCTTGACTCTCTCTCACACACACACACACACACACACAGATTACTGATCCATGC